TGGAATTTTGTCGACAGAGCCGTGCTCCTGGAGATCTCGCTAAAACTACATAGTCGTGACTCAGACCTACAGCAAGTGGTTTTCATTTCTGGCCAAAGTGTCCTCTGTTTCTGGTACCCCATCCCATAGCAGGCACTGCCCTCTTCCATACCGTGCCTCTCTTCACTCGTAGCCACCCGCGCTGTACCTGCTGCAGCAGCAGGCGGGGAGAGAGGGGGTGTTTAACACCATGAAGCGCTGCTCTCTGCTTCCTCCCTTTCCCCAGAGCAATGTCTCTCTCATAGCTCCCTTGCTACAGCAATGCCATCAGGTAATTTCCACAAATTGACTATGCTGTATCTTTCTCCAGTGCAGAACCAATACTATTCTTATGGTGCATTTTAAGGTTTTAGCTGCAAAACACATTTTGCTGTGTTTCCCACATTATCCTTTGAGTGCTCTTGTTGATTATAATTAATGCTTATAACATCGTCTGTTGTGTCAAAGAATATTCCACAGATCAATTAAGTTTCCCGACACCGTTGAGGTGTTGGTAAAAAATAGTACACTTCTAATTGCTATTTTGTGATACCCGCCTTCTAAAAATGTCACTGTTTTACTAGAAAGTGCATGACTTAAGGAAAAAGGTCCTTTTATATAAAGCAGCTGTGGTTTAGGTTAATATGTTTTACTCTGAAACTGTGAAGTGCTAAGGGCATGCACCTTCTCATTTGCTGCCCCTTGGCTAGTGAGCAGTGTTTAAGAGGTGCTAACACAATTGCTTTTGATCATATATCCATTTCTGACTTTGAAGGGAAGTCTTTGCTACACTGTAAAAGCGGTAGATATACTGGAGTTTTTCAGGCACTGGAAAACCCCAGGGATGACAGCCAAGTGAGGGTCTCATGCTTTTTGGGAAGCAGGTTTTTTTTAAAGTTTTTGTAATATGTCAATGCAACACTGTAGTCTAGTATAAAATTATCCACCTATATGCTTAAAGCGCTTTTAGAAGTGAATCTTAGGCTTTCAAGCTGCTGAAGCGTTCTCAGACTTTTACCCGGTATTATTATGTGTGCTTCACAGATGGAGAAACGGAGGTGACTCACTGAAGACCAGATGAATGACAGCTGGGAATAGAGTCAAGGTTCCCTGGCTCTCAGCACTGTTACCAGCTCGCTGGGCTGTGCAGTCGCATTACACTTAGTTTACAGTTGGGTCAGTCAAAGCACGGGGAAGTTAAGGGCCTGGGCTTGAATGCCCAAAACTCTGGTTGAACCTGATGGAAGTGTTGAACGTGCAGTATGCAGAAAATTCAACATTGTGCATCGTAGGCAAGTTCTTCCCTCGCGTCAGGATGCGGCCAGGGCAGAGCCACAGGCTTCTCAGTTCAGCTTCTGGGGATGCAGCCGTGCTGCTGTGCAGACGAGCTGCTGTGCAGATGAGCAGTGGCTGCTGGCAGCCAAATTCAGGTAGAGGAAGGCACTGACAGGGGCAATTTTTGACTGGCTTCTCTGAAAAGCTGGATGTGGTTCCTTCTGCCATTGCACTGCAGTTGTTGCTCGTTCCGGAAAACAGTTTTTTTCTGAATAAGCCATGAAGGCTTGTCGGGTCTGTATTTGAATATATCTAATAAGAAGAAATAAAACCTAGAAGAGAGAGAAGGAGTTGCAAAGGCAGTCCTCAGCGGCATTCGTCTGTGAGCGATGATTATGTAGTTGCATCTAAAATGCGTTTCCCACCCCCATTCAATTAACAAGTCAGTGTTTTAATGGACAGAGCCAACAGCTGCAAAAATCCATCCCCCAGAGAGAGAGATTCCAGCACCTGAGAGCAGTCTGCAAAGCCTAGCAGTACCGTTCCTCATTAGGAAGGAAGGAGAAACGTCCTCATGGGAGCATCCTACCGCTGTAAGGAGCTGCCTCCAGAGGAGTTTGGGGTGGGGGGGAGGGCTGGAAAGAGAATGAGTCTAAGCCCAAGCTAGCAGCTCAGTTTTGCAAAACAGTGAAGCTCTAGCCTTCAACTAGTGAAGCCTGTGTTTAGCTTTAAATACATCACAAGGAAAATGAAGAAAGTGGTGTGTGTTTCTTCTCCCCACCTCCTTCCCTTTTTTATCATGGTTAACACTTAAGAAATACCTAGATCTTCTCTCAAAGGCTTATTTCATTTTAGAGTTACTGAACTCCCTTGCCTTGGTCATGTCCTTCTTTTATTTCAGTTTCCAGACCGAAGTTATTTCTTGGTAGCCTAAAATATTGTTTTCAGTGATACAGGATGTGACAGTGGGATATATAGAGGATGTGTCTGGTCCTGTGTACAGGAGAACTCTCAGTCTCTTTAGGCAAGTCTGTCTCAGGCATGTCTCTAAGAACTATAAGCAGGAAGATGTATTTTACCAAATAACTTGAATTTATAAATGCCATCCATCTTGCAAAGATCCTGGTGTATAAGTATATGCATTAACAGAAGATGGATGTGTCCAGCCAGGAGTACCCAGGACCATGCGTGGTTTTCATAGACTCTGAGACCACTCCTAACTAGAGACTGATTCAGCAGAAAGTCTTCACAAATAACAGCACCAAACAGAGAAGTGCTGAAATCTCTTGCACAGACAAAAGGGGACTGTGGGGTGTGGGAGAGGTGCTGGTGATGACCCTGCTGCAGTTTCTTTGTAGGGTTTGTGACATCTGGCCTCAGTTTCCTCCAGCCTTTTTGACTGAATGAGTGCAGGGATCTGGCTGAGAGCCCCACTTCAGTCCAAAGTCACCTGTGAAAGCCAGATGTTTGCCTTTGTAACCGCCATTGAATCTTGTCCCCTCAGCTCATGATCCAGGGAACGCATCTCACTCTGTCAGGGTGGAATGTGAGAGTTAATCAAGCTATTTCAACGTCTTTGTCAGAAACAGTGCCGATCAAATGTGTTTCTATCAACAGCTGCCTTTTTCAATTATGCAGAGAAAACACGAGAGGGATAGCGTGCACTGCAGTATAGGCTTGTAGTGATCTGAGAGGTTGCAATGGCTTTCAAACTGAGAAAAAGTGCAAGGGAGAGGTGCTGAAGTGGTACCAGTAATGTGAGTGCTATAGCAGAGTCCATTACAGATAAGTAATAGCAGCGCTTCAGCAAATGAACCTTTTCAAGGGTACCAAACAGTTCCTGCCATAGGTTGGACTGTGTTCTGCAATGTTGGGATATGCATTAGGCCCAGGATCAAAGAATTGTTTTATCTAACCATATCTTGGCTGTTTGTTTGAAGCCTTTTTAACCTCCTGCTGTAGAAATGGTGAACTGCTGATGAGAAAAAGGACCTGATGTGATAACACCGTTCCAGCAGCCACCTGCTGCTACCAGTGGGATCCACCAATACATTGGTAAAAAAAAGTGTTCATTTTCCCGGCCAGGGCAGTTTTTCACATGTGTGTGAAACTGCCTCATGAATATGTTTCTCAGATGTCATGGGCAAATACCTTGTGAATAGCTTTCTGTACAAATTGGAGAAACATGCAGGTATCTGGGACAAGAGAAACTTCGTAGGGACAGTATAACATTACTGCATTACAAAGGAGACTTCTTAAAATAGGTTTTAGACCTTTTCCATCATCTTTGTTTCTATAGGGCATTTTCATGATGTATATATATAAGCTTGGGCCGTAGATGGAGCATTCTCTATTCTACTAGGAAATAGAAAATTGACATAAACTAGGATTTTCCTGATCTTTTTACAATAGCACTGTTGGGAACGATGATGTATCTGCTGATGGTCCAAAATCACCTCCCTTTCAATGGAAGAGGGAGCACAGCTCATTCTTCTAGGTCAGCTCCAGAAGTGTTCCGTTTCTCAAATGATTTTATGGTTTTCCTGATTCAGCAGTCTGGTCTGTCGGGATCCCACTAAAATGGGGGGGTCTGTCCCCAGGGCCTGGGCACATCCTGTAGATCGGACTGCAGGATGACCACCCACGATCTTGCAGTAGCCACTATGCAACCTGCAGCTGAATTGCAAGTCAAACATGGAGCTGCAGGCTCTTGTTGGTTTTCCACCTTAAAGTTAGTCAAGTTTACATTTTTAAATTGTGGGCTATAGTAGCAAAACCTAGCTCCTACCTTGAATTTTAAAGAGGCAGGTGGTGTGACCAGTACAGAGATACAGAGAAAGTGTGGACAAATGAAACTAGCAAATGTCACTAGCTTATATTGCATTGAAATGATGCTTGTGTTCATATGGTAAATGATCTCAAAATCTGTTGCCATGTAGCGCTGCTCAGTGACAGGCTTCAGGCTGCTTTGTAAAGGAAAGCAGAACCGTAGTTTCACACATAAAGAAACTGATGCTCAGAGAAGGAAGATGATTTATCTGACATCACCCAGCTGGTCAGTGGCAGAGCTGAGGGCAGAGTCTCTTCATCTGAAATTTTTTCCTTTTCTAAAGACTGACCTCAGCAAACATAGAAATGTTAAGCATAAAACAGCTTCACAAAGGCTGAAATTTATCTGCTAGAGTTGACTCCAATAAGTCCCTTGCCAAACTGCACACCATGATTGATCCACAGTTCTCGACATGCACTTACTTTTAATATGTGGGTGAGGGGACTCCTCATTTCTGACAAAGCTTATGGGGGTTTTTTTGTGTATTAATCTTCAAATAAAGTGTTGTCCAGTTCTTCTGTTACTCTGTATGGTGGTGAACTTCAGCTCCAGCACAGAGGTTGGTCTATAAAACAAAGGAAAAACAGCCTGATGCTTCACTTACACGTATGGAGTACTTGACTTCACATCTTGTGTCTATCTCACAGACAGCTGCTCCAAGTGTGTCCGGCGGTGTGCTAGTTATTTGCGTGGCTCTGGTCCCACAAGGTCCTCTGTCCATTGGGGGATGAAGTGCAATGTGATTGCACGCTAATAAATAAATTTAAAATGTAAACTTGAAGACTAAGAACTGTTTTGTCTGTGTAAATTTGTTATGAGGTGAGTTCTGTAGTAGCTAATAAATGACTTAATTTTTTGCTTTAATCTCTCGGTGCAGGACACCAGCCATGATTGGATGCTCGTTTGTAGTGGACCGAGAGTATTTTGGTGAGATTGGCTTGCTTGACCCTGGTATGGAGGTCTACGGAGGAGAAAACATTGAATTAGGCATGAGGGTGAGTAACGTGAGTAACAAAGAAGAGACTTTGTGCCATGTCCATTTGCAAAGAAAGACGGGGAGCCTGTGGCCCAACAGAATTGCTGTGTGACTGATAGGCTATTACACTGAAATAATTGATATTGCAACACTATCTGGAACTGACAGTCCCAGTAAATGAATGTTCCTGACCTTACTGGCCTTGAGAGAACTGATAACAGTCAGAAATATCGTTTATTGGTTCATTCTGTCAACGTCTGAACCCAATGAGACAGATTTTCCCCTTTCCCAGTAGCTCTGCTTGTGCAAACAGCTACACTAAGTCTTCATGCGCTCATTGCGCCTAGATGATGTTGTATACTTGTGGCCTAGCAGAGGCAGTACCAACAGAAAACTAAGGACAGGCTGGTAGAAGTCAGTTGTAATGTTCTACGTACCACGCACGATGAATGCTGTGGTATTTTAAAACTTTAAGGCTCCTCCTTATAGAATAGGAACTACAGGGTACAGGTATTCGATCCTGTCGGGTAGGTCAGTGCCAAGTGTGGACAGATGACTTCGGGACAGCATCAGTCCACCCTGTGCTTCTGGACCTATAGGAGGTTTGATACTTGTGATCCTTTGCCCTTGTTTGCAAGGTGGTGCTTGCCAGTAAGTCCTTCTGAAGTCCAAGGAACATGTCTTTGCTTAGCACTTGAAAATTAGGCCACTTAATGTTGCATGAACACAGTTTCCTCATTATAAAGCTGCCTGTGTAATTATTTTCCCCTTATTCTTTATTCCTTGCTTCACAGTAACACGTCCCTGGTGTATGTAATGTGCTCGTTAAAGCACATATTCTGCTCATGGTGAAACACTGAACATCAAATTAGTCCATTCTTTATCTGACTCTTTTTTTCTAAAATGGCTACAAACTCCTTCACACCAGTGGGCTGAGGAAGAAGGTCACTGCAGCAAGAGTTTATTTTCACATATGTGTGTGTGTATTTATTATTCCAGCATCGCAAGAGGGATAGGGTTTGTAATGGGACTGTGTGAATATACTGCTTATACTTTAAGGTTCAGAATTCGCATAGGGGACAGAAAAACTGCTACCACAAATCATCCAATTTTCCTTAAGAGGGTCAGGCTATTACCAGGATTGTGTGAGCTTTCCTTTATCATTGTGCAGGGCTTTGAGCTGTTTGAAACTTTTTCCACATGGCTGCTCCCAGAATAGATTGAACGCTCTGGCAAAACTCTGGCGTAGCTGATGAATAAGCCTCCGAAGAAATCTGAAAGCTGTCGCTCTTCTTTAGACGAGAAGAACTTGCTGAGTACGATTAAGGCTCCTGGTAAACAGCGGCAAAGGTTTTAATGGGATTATGAAATGGCACTTGCTTGAAGAGGCAAGGATTTGAAGTGAGCAAGGACAGGTTTTCAGGGGTAGGGAACCTGTTAAAGTCTGCAGAAACCTAGGATCTAGAAACCAGCTCTCATTCTTTGGGGGTTTTTTTTGTTTGTTTGGGGGGGTTTGCCCTATAAAGAATAATTAACCCTACTATTTGAAAAAGGCTTTATGAAAGTACATGAAATAAGCTGTATGTCCGTAGCATGGATCTGTTACTCTGTATTTTCAGCCTGGATCTAGCATGGTAAGTAATATACAGTGTCTACCTCCTAATTTGCAAGTCCTATGCGTGATCCCCTCCTGTGTGTCTTTCAGAGCTGTCAGAAACTAGCAGCGTGAAAATGCACAGGAACTTTCTCCCTTCCTTCTAGGATATTTATAAAATCACTGTGAATTTACAAAGGTTTTTTTTCAACTCCAGAATCTCAAAGTAAGTTGCAAAAAATCATTCTTTTCCTAAGGGCTGGTGCTCTGACCCGCGCAGGGATATTTGGCATATCCCCTGCACAGAGGGATGCTGTTGCCCGTGTGTGACTCTCCTTGTGTGGAGCAGTGAAAGACAGAAAAGGGAAGGAACAAATGAATGAATGAGTAAAGAGCAAGAAATAATATAATAATAAATAATAAAATGGTGGGGGAGTGGTGGCACGTGTTTGGCTAAAAACAGTCCCTATTTAAAATAGCTGTAACAATAATCCTTTAAACATTTTTGCAAACTATTATCATGTTACTGCCAAAAGAAAAGGGATTAGGCTTGGAGTGTCTGAATTAGATTACATTGCATCTAATGAACCCTCATTTCAATTGTTTTAATAAAGTGAAATAGGACAAGTCAGTGAAACTAATGAGCTGATTTGGGAGGATACTGTTTGATAACCCAGCTAATCCCCCTTAAATCTATTGATTTTTTTTGAAAATCACCATCTTGGGTATTCCGTTATTGGCTTTTCCCTTTTCTAAATTCCATAGATGGAAATATTTAAATAATTAACCTAAGTGATTTTCTGTATTGAGTAAGCAGTGCATAAACTGACTGGGGCTACCACATCTATTGAAAATATTTAGGACTCTGCGGCTCTTTTTTTAACTCATATTTTTATGTAAACCTCATATTGGTTAAAGCTGCGACATTCTCCTAATGCGGTAGCTTTGCAGTGAAGCCAATGTCTGGTTGCCAAGCTAGGGAGATTCTGGTTTGGGTGAGAAAAAGCACCAGCTGTTCTGGGAAGTAAAAGGGAGATGGGCATGATTGCAGGCTTGTGATAGTAAGGAAATAGATGGACACTTATATAATGCCATCTTGTACTCTATTTTTCAAAGATGACAGTTTCACCGCAAGATGGATAAATACAGGACTGAATTCTGTTATGGACAAATGGTGCTGTTCTCTTAGTGTTCACCAACTGATGAACACTACTTAGTGTCCACCTACTGAAGCTGATGGGAATTGTCTGTGAGCACCTAAAAGCTGATTTTGGCCAGGAATTTACAAAGTCAAATTGTGGCTGACTCCCGTGTGGATGAGGTGTCCTTCACAAGCACGGGCAACTTGGCTTGTTAGCTGCATTCGGGCAAGCACCACACCACTGCTCTGCCTCCTTGTATCCATGTGGATCCAGTGAGTGGTAGATAGCCCTGTTTTTGTTTCAGCTGTGGTTCAGCTGTCCTTTTCCCAACCGGGAGGCAGAGATAAAGAAAAATAATGGTGCTTTCTCCCACAGCAAAGCTGTGGATGTGTCTGTGCTTGAAGAAGATACCCTAAACTCAGGGTAGATCACGTTCATCTTTGCTGCTCCTGGACGTGAAATGGTCTCTCTGACCTGTAGTACAGAGAGATGTCCCAATAGTAAGAGAAATTCAAGCAATGCATGAATGTAGAGCAAGACAGGGATCCCTTTAATTGAGGGTCCCAAATTATGACCCTGTAAGAAACTGCATGGTTTGCAAGCGTCATGTAAGTTCCCTTCCTACAGGGAGCTACAGACACGCTTAATTATTTAGAAAGGGATCATATAAACATTAAAAGCCTAGTTTATGATTTGACCTAATGCAAGCAGTTTATGATGCATCTTTTTATAGCGAGTCATTAATCATTGCACTAAGGATCTCTCTCTTCCTCTGGTGCTTCAGTGATAAGGTGAATGAATTGCTGTTCTTTTTATTTTGTACCCATCAACTGTAATGGTGGGTGGGAAGAGATCAAACATTTATTTTAAGGGATGCTCTAGTACAAAATTAAATTCTGCTTCCACCATTAAGAATCCAAACAAATTAAATAAAAAATACGTTGCCACATTGACAACTGAAAGCAAAACTTTTTGTCTTTTACGGCCAGCATCAACTGGCCATACTGCTTTATTCTCAATAGCACTGTGATATACCTCAAAGGAGGGAATCTGCATCCCTGATGAATTCTTACAGGTACTAACTCAGAGATTTGAGGAAAAAACAAAACAAAACAACACCCACCCACCCCCTCCCCAAACTAATGACTTACCCAATTTGAGATATCGTAAAGAAACCTACTGTTTAAGAGGTCCTGGCCAGAAAAATCGGTTAGAGATGTCCCTAGGTACTAGTGTGACAAATTAACTCTATGGTGAATTCGGTGATGGCTGAATTCTCCAGCAGAGCTTAGCTGGATGCTTAAGGTTAGTTGTCACCTCGGCTCGTGCAGGTGTGTCACAGGTAACTTGGGCCAGTTTTGGCAGCTGGCAACGGCATGGCCCTGGGAACACACAGTTCATCAGGATTGAAAAGAATTGTCTGAAAACAGGATAAAAGCTCAAATCATTTGCGCTCTCTGCTGTTGTGATTACATTGCTTATGGTGGCCAAGCTGCCTAGCTGAACTCAAGCATGGGTTATGTATATAGAAATGCAGTCCCACCTCTGGGCTTTGCAGAAATACTGTGTGTACTGTAAAAAAAAAATGATGCAGATTCACTGAAATCTCTTTATGAGGAAATAAAACTCGTTACCTAACGGACTTCCGTACACAAGCAAATCATTATACTTTCCAAACTTATGCTATATGGCCCGGCTTTACTTTCTTTAAAAACAGATGAACTACATTTTCTCTGAACAGAAATGCTAACGGTAGATTGTTGAGTAGTGAATTCTTGACCTGATTTTATTACCTTTAGCTAAGGAGATTTAGATTCCTTTGAGCACTCAGTGCTTTAAATGCAGATTCTAGGCCGGTATGCTGTAATAAAAGTGTCAGAAGGTTTACGTATAGCAAACTTTAATTCTGAATTCTGGACAATGCTTTTTACCCTGTGTGATTCATGAGGCCAGGCCCCTAGTCTTAGATCTAAGAGGTAGGTAGGAACCCCGTTCCGCAGAGTTTCTCAAAATTTCAGGGTTTTTTCCCCACATGCTGTGGTAAAATACAAGTGAAAATTGTACAAAAATACAGGTTAATCAAAATGTCTTATTTCAGTAAATCCAAAAATACTTCATTTTTATTTTGACCTTTCCCAAGCTGTAATTTTTAGTATAAATTAATTCCATTTCAAATGAAAAGTTTTAAAAGAAAGCCCTTCAGTTTGAAGACATTTGATCATTTAAATGATGTTAACAAAAATTCACACTTGCTGGCATCTGAAAATGTAATGCACTCTGTCC